TGTCACTGGGCTGAAGATACCACGGAGTGTCTTGGCTACATCAAGCTTGTCAAGGACCTCCGTCGCGCCAACACGTTCCGATTTGACACGGGCAATGGCCAGATCCTTCTCTTCCTGGGAGAGCCATTTAGCTGTCTCAGGTCGGTCGGTCAACGATAAGAATCCGATGAGAGCAATTCCAATCGTGACGATGCCTTCAATCGCGAAGATCATACGCCAGCTGCGGAGAGAACCGAAGTGATCGAGCATGAGAATGCCTGAGGCTAGAAGGCCACCGAACGCTCCAGCGAGGGGAGCCATGACGATATACAACGACAGGCGGAAGGCAAGTTCACTTCGTCGATACCAACGCGAGAGATAATACGCAATTCCAGGCATGAGTCCTGCCTCAAACACGCTAGAGAGTTGTCAGCATTGTTGAGTTCGCAAAGTCTGAGACATATACCCCAAAAGGAAGCGGACGCCGGATGCACTTGGCATATCATTGACAAAAGCCGTGGCGACCGAACAGATGCCGAATCCCAATGTGATCGCTGGAAGCCACCATCCAGGCCCAATCCATTTGCACATGAGATTACTGGGGATCTCAAAAATAATATATGCGACAAAGAAGATCGAGAGCACGGCGTTGTAATCATAGCCTACAAGACCAAGATCCTTGTCGAAGCCGGCCAATTTAGCGTTACCTATTTCAAGAAAGAAGTGGATTAGCACCTGGAACTGGAAATAAAAATTCGGGAAGGATAAGAGGGGCTCGTCACACACCAACATTGGCTCGATCGATGAAACAAAAGAGGTACATAATTGCAACAGTTGGGACAATATAAAGATCGATTTTGAGTCGCAATCGTGACTCGGCGGCCTTGTCAAATTTCACCAGGGGCTGGCCATGTTCATCTGTCGCGAGTTGACCCCTTTCTGCTGCTTCATGCGTGACTTCTCCCATCATATGCTCTTTATGGTCTGAAATGACCTTTTCATCACCGATGGGCGTGGTGCCTCTTTCGGTGTCGGCCATGTTGGAGTGCCGGACAGTGTTGAGCTCGCAAGGGATACAGAGGCGGTCTGAAGTTTCCAGATAACAGGGATCAAGAAAAACCTCGAGAGCATAGACCAGGCGCGATCGGGTGTTTTATAGCTCAATTAGAAGCCCGATCGGAAGATCTAAACGGTAAGTCTGGGGTTGTGGGGGATTACGGATTCAGTCCCGCACTGATGTCCGGCTTTTGCAGCAGCTGAAATCTCGATTTGCCGTTGCCAAGGGAAGGGCACTTGGTCTGACACTGGCGGTAGAGTCAATAATGCCTTAGCATTCGGAGTTGACAGTGGGAGAGCCAGGTATTATTATGGAGGTCCAATCATAATAATTCCTTGACAAGCCAAGGTGTCAGACCTCTAAAGTTTAGACGAAGATTGGCACTTGGGACTTCCCCAGAAGAACTTGGAGATTTCCCCAGACTTGTGGATCTCCCCCGGACTGGCTCTTTGGCCGTGTGTGGATCTCCGTGCATTACAATGTGCCTAGGTCCAGCCTGAGCACTCCGTGCAAGAAATGCCGACACCCTCATCCGACTATGTCTAGGCGTCATGACGACCAACCATAGCCGCAGAATCTGTCAGGCATTGCGATTCTCCAAAACGCCAAGTCTTCCAAGAAACATGGGTTAGAACATGGGCGAGATAAGTGAAATCAGCCGATCGGAAGTTATCCCGAAATTGACCCGAGGATATTTTCATCGGATGAGGTGAGGTTATTGTCAGCAGTGTACGCAGCAGTCCCATGTAGTAAATCATGCATGACCACTTGAAACCAGTTAGTTAACTAGTTAACTGTCAAGAGCTCGATGCCTTGTTTATAAGGCATATATCATGTGATATAATCATAGAAATTCCAAAATGATTGTCATTAAGATGGCTCCAGAGTTTGTCTCAACTTATCAGTGAGCAGAAGCAGATTCAATCTTTGATGTATGCAGCCGTGGAATATATAGGATGTAATGTCCGTGGGCTTGAGTCTTAAAAGGATTCCGGGGCGATGTGATGACACACTAACACGTGACTCGGATATAGACGGATAAATTTCTCGGATTAAACGGATGAACTGCACTGACAAAGAGTTCTAAGACTGCCATACGTATTTATCCATGTCTGAGACGTCGGATAAAGCTCAACCGGGCTGGCGAATCCCCCGTGCATGCCAGGAATGTCGCAAACGTAAAATCAAATGCAATGGCCTGACCCCGTGAGATCCTACAGTCTACGTTCGGATAGTGAATTCATTGGACTAATATAACATCAGGTGCAAAACTTGCCAATTGCGCAATACACCATGTATATACAGAGACTATATTCGCCATCGACGGAAAAAAAACGAGTATGAGGAACTCGGCGAGAGGAGCTTACCTCGTCAGGGCTCTCCAAGCGGAGTCCCGCCATCGGGGCAGCAGCGCACAGCCTCCGTGATGAACGACTTCCCAAATAGTGTGTCTGCGACACATACGGCATCGCCATCATGTCGGATGCAGCTATACTATGGCGCTACCTCTCATTTCTCTCTTATGCAGCATATCTACCGAGATCTCGTCTCCAATCCTACCTCCCACCCTGAACCCTCTGGCGGGGTTGAGGAAGCTGGAGCTGGTTTGGACTTGTTTAGCTTCCGTCGCATTTTTTTTGGAACCCCAGACTTTCATGAGAGTAACAAGTCCCCCGGGAAAGGGGATTTATCTATGATGTTTCTGCCGTACGACCTGGCTAGACTTTTTCTGTCGCGATTTCTATCTAGCCTTTATCATCTGATACCACTTCGCCCCAAGGTATATTATGAGCAATGTCTGGACCGACTCTACAACTCTTCGCCCGCCGACCACCTTGATGCTTTTACCCAGGCGATCCTTCTCCTTGCCATGGCAAGCGCTTCACTCGGCACGGAGCATTTTGCCTGGGGTGATGTGCTGTTCGAGCGTGTCAAAGCTTCGTTGGCCGCATTTGATGACGTGGTGAACCTTCAGACTATCCAAATTTCATTGCTTATGATAAGTCCTTGTACTCTTACTTTGTTGTATGCAGGCTGACATAGATTTTACGCTAATTACCAGAACGAACAAGGTCGGCCAAACTCAACGTTCTTGCATTTGGGTTCTGCTTCTCGCAAAGCCTTGTCAGCAGGTCTGCATAAGGATGTCCCGCATGACGTTGATCAAACCCCGGAAAACATTGAAGAAAGAAGGGTAACCTTCTGGTCTCTTTATATCTACGAAACGTATATTACCACTTTCAGTCCGATCTTCTATAATCTCACTAACATCGTATACATAGCTGGTTCTGCTTTCATGTGGGACGTCCCAACTCCCTCTCCCTTAAAGATGCCGCAATCGAGTATCCGCAGGATCCTTTTATTCGATTGTTGGTACAGCTTTGCAAAAGCATCACCCGGTCTGTTAATGAGATATACGGTCAGCGACATGACTCTCTTCTACATATGTGGAGAGTCGCTAAATCCATTGCAAACGATCTCCGTGACCATGAAGCACATCTACAACAAACCTTGGGCCTCGGGCTTGATGACAGCATCCAGGCCGGATCACTTGGGGTTAGACAAATTATCTTCATTACCCGTAAGTCACAGTTAAACCATTGCTTAACCCTTCTCTAACCAGACTAAGTATATTATCATACCCTACTTCTCACATTCCGCCCATTCTTAATATTTCGCGGCCATTGGCAGCGCGAGAGGAATATCGCGCTCAACCAGTCTACTACCAATGTCACAAATCGCCCCAGAGAAACCCCTCCTTGGCTCAACGAAGCCTGCAATCATGCCATCACTGCCGCCCAAAGAATACTCCATCACTTATGTGAAGCTTCAAGAGTCAATAATCTTGTTCTGGTAAATAGACTACATGTTATTACAAATCTTCCACTAACAGTGTCCTAGGAATTACGATACCATGGGTATTTTTTCGGAAATTCTGTATTTACTCTCATTTACGAATTCATTCACAACCCGAGTGTTGCGCCTCTCTATCTGCCGTGGGTTTATGCTTCATTGCAAACATTATCAACTATGCGAGCTGGGAACCCGATCGCAAGCACAATTTCGGCCGTGCAGACTGTGCTTCGCAATATCAATCCATCATACGAATGGGCGCCTCTATTAGCAACAACTGGGGATAACTTTGCGCCCCCGGGAGGGACACCCGTACAGCGATCCCTCACTCCCAACCGCAGCCATCAACCACAGCTCAACAACCCTGCAATCCCGCACAACACTTCTCTAGGAGTGCGGTCTGGCATACTGACATCTCCTTGGAACCTTCCACAGGTGGAAAAACTGGAAAACCCGGAAACTGGAGGCTCTGCAGGCTCAGGGGATGACTTGCTTGATTTCACTCAGTCTGACATGGGCTGGAATTTCGATTTCTCTACCATGGACTTGGACGCGTTCTTTTCGATCCATCAGTCGAATAATGCTCCGATTCTTTGATGGGAGCCTTGCACTAATCAATTTCATAATATATAATACAACTCCTTCATATTATATCCATTTTGACTCCATCAAGGGGTCGTCTACCGACTTAATCCGAGTGGATCTATATCCGACGGGTGGATCTCATCGAAGCTCTGGAAGGTACCGAGATAGATCCCCAGCGAATGAACGATCGCTTTGGACCAAGTGGGCCGCTAATATATCCGTTCGTATATTTCCGAGTAACTCATCACTGTAAAATCCTCGCTAACAAGATATTGATTGCAGTTGTTTTATCTGTTTGAAAGCATGTCTCTTATCGGTAAACTCCGCCACAGCGATACATATGTGATATGATCTATAAGCCACGGCCCACTCCGGAAATATGGATTTATAAATGTAGATTCGATATCAAATCCGCAATATAAGAGTTCTGCTGCCCCACGACCATGGCATTTGCTTCCAAGCTCACCTGAACTGGTACTGTCATCAATAGTCGTTCTTTTTTGTCCCAGGAATATAAGCCTCCGTCATGGAAACTCCATCGTCCGGCACAGTAACCCCGGTCGACCTGGAAAACGGCGACGACCAGATTCGCAAACGATTGACAGTCACCTTCCGCGATCTGAATGTTCGAGTCACTGCACCAGATGCTGCTTTGGGAAGCACCTTATGGTCAGATGTCGACCCGCGACAGGTTGGGACTCTGCTGAAACGCGGCGACCGTCCAAAAAGGGTGGGCATATTTAACCATCAATATGCAGTTGTCATATACTAACTTGCCTTCTAGACCATCCTCAAAAATGTTGCAGGCCAGGTGAAGCCCGGGGAAATGGTAGGCTCTTATGACCCGAGAGCAAAAATGCTGTAACTAACCAATATAGCTTCTTGTGTTGGGACGTCCAGGCTCCGGATGCACTTCCCTCCTTCGAGTCCTCTCGAATGATCGAGATAGCTTTGATGAAGTCACCGGCGAAACCAACTACGGAAGCATGGATCACAAGACTGCCAAAGGTTTCCGTCAGCAGATAATGTTCAACAATGAAGGCATGCAATTCTAACTTGGGATCTATTAAGTTCAATGCTAACTGCATTGGTATCAGACGACGTTCACTTCCCAACCCTTACTGTCAACCGTACAATGAAGTTCGCTCTTCGAAACAAGGTTCCCAACGAGCGACCGGACCATCTAAGGAACCGCAAGGACTTCGTCCAGAGCCACCGTGATGAGATCCTGGGCTCACTTGGAATCGGACACACGAAGAAGAACTTGGTAGGAAACGAGTACATCCGAGGCGTGTCAGGAGGTGAACGTAAGCGCGTTTCTCTTGCTGAGGTCCTGGCCGGACAAAGTCCAGTCCAAATGTGGGACAATCCCACTCGGGGCTTGGACTCGAAATCAGCGGTGGAATTCGCTCGAATGCTGCGACGTGAAGCAGATCGGAATGACAAGACAATCATTACAACTACATACCAGGCTGGAAACGGTATTTATGACCAATTCGACAAGGTCCTCGTTCTGGCTGAAGGTCGTGTCACTTACTACGGCCCTCGTCGTATTGCACGAAAATACTTCGAAGACCTTGGATTCATCTGCCCCAAGGGTGCCAATGTCGCAGACTTCCTTACTTCGGTTACTGTCCTTACCGAACGCACAATCCGATCAGGCTGGGAAGAAAAGGTGCCTAATACACCTGAGGACTTCGAAAATTGCTACCAAAACAGCGCCATCTGCAAAGATCAAATGGACTCCATCGTGGACCCCGAGAAGCTGACCTACGAAGCTGAAGACCTGAAGCTGGCAGTATCTAGTGAAAAGCGCAAACAACATCTTCCCCGGAATAGCAGTGTTTATACAGCGAATATTTGGGACCAGATTGCCGCTTGTGCTCTCCGCCAGTTCCAGGTTATCTGGGGTGATAAGCTCTCTCTATTTGTGAAGGTCGTATCAGCTTTAATCCAGGCCCTGGTCTGTGGAAGTTTGTTTTATAACTTGCCAGAGGTAATCAAGAAGCCCTCCACCCAGAACAACTTAAGAAGACCAAGCTAACAGTTGAAACTACAAGGATTCGAGCTCAATCTTCTTACGCCCTGGTGTTTGCTTCTTCCCGGTGTTATATTTCCTCCTTGAAAGTCTGTCGGAAACAACTGCATCATTTATGGGCCGGCCTATTCTTTCTCGTCAGAAGCGATTCGGATTTTACCGACCTACAGCCTTTGCCATCGCCAACGCTCTCACTGATATCCCAGTTGTGATGTTCCAGGTGACCTGCTTCTCGATTATCCTTTACTTCATGGCTGCTCTTCAAATGGACGCAGGAAAGTTCTTCACATTTTGGATCATCGTTATTGCGCAGACATTGTGTTTCGTGCAACTATTCCGAGCTGTTGGCGCTGTGTGCAAACAGTTTGGAAATGCATCCAAAATATCCGGCTTGTTGTCCACTGTCTTCTTTGTCTATGGAGGTGCGTATTGGAACATAGCCATTGATTAATACGAAGAATTTCAAACTGACAAATAGCAGGATATCTTATCCCATTTCACAAGATGCATGTGTGGTTTCGCTGGATCTTCTACCTCAACCCGGGAGCATATGCCTTCGAAGCACTCATGGCTAATGAGTTTGTCGGACGAAAATTCACATGTATAGAGCCCGATTATATCCCGTACGGCGCAGGATACTCTAACTCGGTATCTGCCCACCGTGGATGTTCAGTCCTTGGAAGCGACGCTCAAGGCATTATTGATGGGGCAAAATACATCCAAGAGCAATATAGTTATTCAGTCCATCACATCTGGAGAAGCTTTGGCATTATCATTGGATTTTGGATTTTCTTCATCTGCCTGACTTCTTTCGGACTTGAACTCCGGAACAGCCAAAGTGGATCATCTGTCCTGCTTTACAAGCGCGGCAGCGAGCATACTGAGAAGTCACAGTCCCCAAAGCAGGCAGACGCCACCGCACTTTTGGGCTCAGTCAAGCAATCGACCTTTACATGGAAAGACCTTGACTATCATGTACCTTTTCACGGTGAGAAGAAACAGCTTCTGAACAAGGTATTTGGATTTGTCCAACCAGGAAACCTGGTTGCCCTCATGGGAGCTTCTGGAGCTGGAAAAACAACATTGTTGGATGTGCTTGCTCAGCGTAAGGATAGCGGAGAGATTTATGGATCAGTCTTGATTGATGGCCGCCCGATTGGAATCAGTTTCCAGAGAACTACTGGTTACTGCGAACAGATGGATGTGCATCTTGAGACAGCCACGGTCAAGGAAGCATTAGACTTTTCGGCGGTTCTTCGTCAGCCATCGACAGTTCCACACGAAGAAAAACTTGCCTACGTCGAACATATTATTGACCTCTTGGAGTTGCGTGACATCAGCGAAGCACTTATCGGGGGTATGTTTGCTTGGTTTCGATCCCACTGGACAGCGATACTAATAACTCACAGTTCCTGGAGCTGGACTTAGCATTGAACAGCGCAAACGCGTGACTCTGGGCGTTGAGCTTGTCGCTAAGCCTACATTGTTGTTTTTAGATGAACCTACTTCCGGTCTTGATGGACAAAGTGCGTTCAACATCGTACGTTTCCTTCGCAAACTGGTCGATGGCGGCCAAGCTGTGTTGGTAAGTCTTCAAAGAGTTACAAGATATTTGGGTCGTACTAACTTCGTAAGTGTACAATTCATCAACCATCTGCGGTGCTATTCGACGCATTTGACGGTCTTCTCTTGCTAGCCAAGGGCGGAAAAATGACGTATTTCGGAGAAAGTGAGTCTTTACTCTTCGGGCAATTACTCAAGATTACCAACTAATAACTGGTATGTGATTACAGCTGGCAAGGACTCGACCAAAATCTTGGACTACTTCACTCGCAACGGAGCGCCATGCCCTCCGGATGCCAACCCCGCAGAGCACATCATTGATGTTGTTCAAGGAGGTGGTACTACAGACCAAAAGGATTGGGTCGAAATCTGGAGTCAGTCAGAAGAGCGCAAGCAAGCACTCTCCCAGCTCGACGCACTCAACGAATCCAGCAAAGATGCTTCCGACTATGTTGAAGATACTGCTGACTATGCGACTTCGCACTGGTTCCAATTCAAGATGGTTTCTAAACGCCTCAGCATTCATATCTGGCGCTCACCAGTACGTCCTTACAACGATATACAAAACAAATCTGCAAAAGCTGACATTCGCCTAGGACTACATGTGGAACAAGATTATTCTCCATATCTTCGCGGCGCTATTCAGTGGATTCACTTTCTGGAAGATTGGCAGCGGCACTTTCGACCTTCAGTTGAGACTCTTTGCGATTTTCAATTTTATCTTCGTCGCTCCCGGCTGTATCAACCAGATGCAGCCGTTCTTCTTGCATAGTCGTGATATCTTTGAGACCCGAGAGAAGAAGGTGAGCAACCTAATGGAATTCTAATGGCGGGAAATATCGCTAAGACTGATTTTTATATAGTCCAAAACCTATCACTGGAGCGCCTTCATTGGAGCGCAGACTCTGACGGAAATTCCGTACCTTATCATTTGCGCCACACTTTACTTTGCCTGCTGGTACTTCACAGCAGGGCTTCCGATCGAGGCCAGTGTTTCCGGGCATGTCTATCTTCAGATGATTTGTAAGTTACACCAAGTCTTGAAAGTTGATCCAAGTATCTAACATCAAAATAGTCTATGAACTCCTATACACATCCATTGGTCAGGCAATTGCAGCATATGCACCGAACGAATATTTCGCGGCTGTGATGAACCCTGTCTTGATCGGTGCCGGCCTGATCAGTTTCTGTGGCGTGGTGGTTCCATACTCCCTCATGCAGCCATTCTGGCGATACTGGATTTACTACCTGGACCCCTTCAACTACTTGGTTGGTGGTCTGTTTGGCGAAGTGATCTGGGATGTCAAGGTCAAGTGTGCACCATCGGAATTTGTGCAGTTTACCGCACCGTCTGGTCAGACCTGCGGCCAATACATGGCCGATTTCCTCGCCGCACAGACTGGATACCTAGCTGATGGGAATTCTACTGGGACATGTTCATTCTGTCAATACTCTGAGGGTTCTGATTATGCGAAAACGTTCAATCTTCAAGAGAAATACTATTCATGGAGAGATGTGAGTATACCTTTGTTGATTTGGCCTAAGCTGCGATGCTAATTGTTTATTTTATAGACGGGTATCACTGCCCTGTTCTGCATCTCATCGTACGCCTTGGTGTTCTTGATGATGAAGCTCAGGAGCAAGAAGACCAAGAGTGCCCGTTCTGAATGAACGATCGTAACCAAGCCGACCGTTAGGCCTTGGTTAAGCTAATATCGGCATCTTTCATAATATATATTGCTTTCAACTTCTGCGGGGTACAATTACGACAATGTGGCCCGTTTCGTTCTTGGCTTGTCTAGATTATCCCCTTGGGTAGTTACCATTCTTGTTTTAGCGGCTATAGATACTGTGTTTCTCCGGGATATCATTCGATAGTTCCCCCTTTAATTGTTATTTACCCTATTTTATAGACTTATATCCAGACTATTAATTATATTTTGTTTTCTTTACTTCTATTTGGGTGGTACTTAAGCTTTACTACAGCCTCACATCCACTGACAATGGGCATGTACCACATGATCCGTTCACCAGCTAAAACTAACAATGAAAGAGAGGTCATCAATGTCTTATGTACCCATTAAACTGTTAGATGTCTAATAATTCAATAGTTCAACGTGACACAGGAAATAATCTACCAATCGAGTTTCTGTTCGTCCGTTTTTGGATTTGAGCCGAGCCGTTGCGTGGTGGACCCCGAGGTCCCCCCGAGGTTTACAGCCCACCTTTGATCACAGGGAGATCGGCAAGCACGTGTATGCAGAAAGACTAGATCTGAAAATATAAAAAGATCCAAGCAACCCCTGGTTTTAGGCTTCATCAACGTCCCTGGACTCCTTGAACATGCGGTTCGACATTCTTGCGATCCTCCCTCTGGCCGCTAGCGCGGTCAACATCATCTCCTCTAACGATGATGGCTGGGCGGAAGCAAACATCCGCGCTCTATTCGATTCTCTAGGAGCGGCAGATCATTCAGTTGTGGTATCTGCGCCCGCCGAGAACCAGAGTGGAAAGGGTATGTTATGTCTTCCCTTCTACATTCCTCTCTTTTGCTGACGCGCGTAACTGCAGGGTCAAAGGAAGAAGAGCCGACTGTCTTGGATGAGCCATGCGAGTTCAACAGTTGCCCATCTGGCAGTCCGGCGGTGGGATTTAATGCCTCAGAGGTCAGTATTGTGCCCGGTGTTACCAGAACGGTAGACTGATGGGATAAATAGCCCCGACTAGGTTATGTCAATAGCTACCCGGTGACATCTATCCAATACGGCATCGATACGAGCGGCCCGAAATTCTTCAACGGCGCCCCAGATTTGGCCGTGACAGGTCCAAATGTCGGCAGTAACATTGGCCTCACAGTTTTCATCTCCGGAACAGTGGGCGCCGCCACATACGCTGCGAAGAATGAGATCCCTGCTATCGCTTTCTCCGGTGCTAGTGGCTCCTCTACTTCATGGGATAGCTCGCGGCCCCACTACAGTGAGGTCTATGCGGATTTGGCAACCAACTTGACAAACCACGTGGTTGCTGCTGGCAAACCCTACCTGCCAAAGGATATCTGGCTGAACGTCAACTTTGGAAAGGTCTCCGACGAATGCGCAAGTCCGGCCGATTTCTCTTTCGTCCTTTCCCGCATCCATACTGCGGTTCCACTAGTTAGTGGTGATGATGTGACCACGTGTGGGGAGTCGAGATTACCAAGCGAATTGAAAGTATCGCTAGCGTCCGGATGTTATGCAAGTGTCTCAGTCGGGATTGCGGACTCGAAGAGGGATGCCTCCGCTGACATGCAGGGGGTTGTTTTGAAGAAGCTGGGCAATTTGTTGACTTGTCTACCCTGATTGGTGTAGAAAACGCCAATGCCAAGGACGTGCAGATCATGTTCCTGATTATCACCACGTGTTCTATTTAGTCACGCTATATTGGAGCGAATATATTAGAATCCCTGCGAGGGGTGCATATAAGAGCCACTACTGTATATTAAAACCTAACCTAGCCTCAATTGAGGATAGATAAGAGCTTGACATGCAGAGAAAATGCCTCAGCTTGTAACGAGCTCATTTCGTATCGGAGAAACACTACGAAACGGCGAATCACCGGGGTTGTCGATCGCACGAGTAAAAAGCAATCTAATCTACAATCAGAGTTCCACGCTGAACTCTGCTATCATCCACTATGCTTCATCGGGGCTAAAGACCGTTTCCGCCGGACTTAAAACTGGCCGAAGGAAGCGGGCCCAGCGACAATGTTCCTAATGTTCCCAAGGTAGCCAAGGTAGTTGTGCCGATCGATTTTGATGAATACTACTCGGTGTGTCGTGCTCCGTGCATCGTACTCCGTGCATCTACAATATAAATATCCCGAAGAAATCCCGTTTGTAAATAGAGTAAGGTCACCACAATATACACCCGCTTTCCATTCCAATATGATTCCTCAACTAATTGCTGCGCTGACTGCTCTCACTGTGCTGCCTGTGACGGCTACCCCGGTTGAGCTGTCGCGTCGAGGAACAGTTGGATCCAGCGACCTTGTCGGACTTCCCCAAACGGTTCCAGCCGGTGCCACTGGCGACCGCTATTTGGCCTACCAGCCCAAACTGAAGGTTGTCAATGGCTGCGTGCCTTTCCCAGCCGTAGATGTCAATGGAAATACGAAGTGAGTGAGATCACTGTCTTTATTAAAGATTTTCTAGATTTTCCACACTCTCATATCTAATACCTGTGATGCAGTGCCGGTCTCAAGCCAACAGGAAGTTCCAATGGTGAATGCAGTTCAAGCACAGGACAAATATACGGTCAGTTTCTTCAGAAGTTAGCCATTTAATAGCCCGGAACATATTGACCAACGACCTGCCTTTGAAATCTACAGTGAGAAGCGGTACTTCGGGTGGCAAGAATGCCTTGATGTATTCTTGGTACTTCCCCAAAGATGAGCCTTCGACCGACCTCGGACATCGCCACGACTGGGAAGGAGTTATAATCTGGCTTTCCGACGCCACAAGTACCGCTGCCTCGAACATCGTGGCCGTTTGTCCGTCGGCACACGGTGGCTGGGATTGCAGTACAGATGGCTTCACACTTGATGGGACCTCATCTTTGATCAAGTACGAGTCCGTCTGGCCTGTGAATCATTCTTGCGGCTTAACAACTAGCGTCGGCGGTACACAGCCGTTGGTTGCCTGGGAGTCAATGTCAAGTAAGTTGCCCAGATGTATCCTCAAGGTCCGGAAGCTAGCAAGCTAACCTAGAATGTTCAGCTGTCGAGCAAAATGCTTTAGATACAACCGACTTCGGATCAGGGAATGTTCCTTTCAACGAGGGCAATTTTGCGAACAACCTAGCAAATGCGACCTACTGAGCTCAGGGTCAGAGAAGTGATCCACTAGAGGAAGGAGGTCAACACAGAGCCGATATGAACGGCCTGTCGCTTAGGCTATATTATTTTAGTTCGTAAAAACGATTAGACTAGTTAATAACTACAATAGTTATGCTTATCGGTGTTTAAAAATAAATAGATATCAGTGGCCAGTAGGTGCTGTCGGTGAGCTGCTCATCGGAGGTCCTATCGTTGCCCTTGCGTATCTTAACAACCCCGAGAAAACCGCCCAGGCATTCATTTTCAGCCCTAAATGATTGTCACGTTATCGTCCTGATGGATGGACAATGTACAAGACTGGCTTTGCCGAGGATGGCTCATTTATAGGTACACGGAGTGGAAAGACATGCAGGTAAAGGTCCTCGGATTTGGGGATTGGGGTGCTTGGGTGCACACCCCTTGTGAGATGACGTGTCCACGCATGAAGATTGTCCGCGATGGGGTTGAGTTACCATATCGCAATTGGGATTGTAATACGCTCACCCCACAAGGCGAAGGCCAGAGAGAGGGAAGATAGTTGTACTGGGGAATGAGATGAGGTCCCAGAACTATCTGTTAGTTAACTATTATGCCTTACGGCCTGATCAGCGAGGCAACACCTCCAATCGCTACCCATCTCTGCAAGAGAATCAGCAAGGAAGGCAAGTAGAAGCCCTAGAAGCAAGTGACATGGTTGTGGTAAACGTACGCGGTATCTACTCAACTTTGAAGGGAGCAATCGACTGCCGTAGGCTATGGCTAGAACAAGCGACCCAGTGATGTACAATAAACCAAATATACATTCATGACTATATGCAGGCCACATTATAACCAAAAGACACATAAGATGCCTCACAAGGCTGACATCTATCTCAATAATCACGCTTCATCAATAAAACTCATTTCCTGCTCATACTTTAAATCCATCATCCAGCGACGGTTTCCCATGAGGTTGATATCAAATTAATTCAAGCAGAAGTTGGAACACACTGAGAAAACCACGGGTTTGACGAAGAACAGGCTGCTGGCGACGCACATGCAGTTGCTCCTGTCCAGCCAGTTCCTCCGCACCGTCCGTAGAGGGTTTGGGTTGCTCCGCCCCCACCAGCGGCATCGATGGAGGGGGTGGTGCTAGCGAGCTTTCTGATAGTACTGATCTTACTACTAGGAGTGGTAGGGCTGGTAGTTCTTGTCGTAGTCACCAGTGTCGTAGTGGCAGCCTTGGAGGCTGAGGTTGTAGTGGTGCCGCCGGTAGCAGCGCCTGTCCCTGTCCCTGTCACTGGTGTACCAGAAGCCGTGCTTGCCGAAGTAGTTTGCGTGATTGAGACAGCACCACTGTAAAGAGTTGGTCCCGGGACAACCTGATAAAGCAATATTAACAAGGGAGTGGATTCGGGCGAGGTATCAGCGAATCCTGACAACCGATTACGTACATAAGTTGACAGAGATGTGTAGATGTTCACAAGAAGGCCGGGGTCCGTTGGATGGTACAGATCAGTACCCAAGACACCTGCTGGTTGCTTTGATCCGGAGCCGGTGATTTGCAGGTTGAAGCATTGGGGGTAATTCTGGGCCCCACCCTCAGTGCCTGCACTGTGGAGTGCGATCCTTGATAGCAAAGAAAGATTAGCAAAACCGTTTCGCGGAATCAGGAAGATCTACATACAGTTCATGTCTCAAGACATAATGCCCAGGTGCGATATCGGGAGGAATCTCGACCATCCATCCTGAACCCTGGGCTACGAGTTGATCATCGCCCCAAGTGCCGGGGACAGTTTTGTCGTCAACTAGTCCAACACCGTCAATCTTGAAGAACTTGAGAGTGGTTTTGTCCACAGTTCCACAGCCAGTCGAGCCACAATTAGCGAGGTAATCAATGACTGGCCCATGATGCGATTCTGGCCAGTCAGTCCATTGAAGAAAGACTCGGTCACCGGCAGCGACCACTGCGTGCCCTTTGGCATTAGTAGCATTGAGATGGCAAATAATATCTGAGGTCGTGTACGCGTCTGGTTTTAAAAGGTTAGAAAGGAAATTTGGTTTGGTCAAAGAGGACGATAATGACATAACATACCCGGAGCAATGAAGCCATTACCAGTATTTGGGGTACCCCAAGCCACCACGACTGGAGGAGATTCTGTATAAGGATAGCTGTTTATGTCCCATCCATTAAACGAGACACCGTTAATAACGATGTTGGTGATGTGACCATGGGCCGCAACAAGAGACGCAAACAGAGCGGGGCCGAGGAGGCTATACATTGCGGCTGTATTCGAAGAAGCAGATTAAACAAGCTTGAATCTCAAAGAAATAGATATGCTAAATTCGAAGTAGGTAGCGAAAGTCCGGCTTTGCCTGTGTTTGCCTTTTGTGGTGGAACTGCGCAACCGCCATATTTATAGTGATCGAGAGGAGTACTACCAAGTTTCATGTGTTGTGCTTATCTGATTGATGCCTATAAGCTGCCTCGGGTTCAGAATTGTAATTATAAGGGATGAAACCGATCGGAAACAGTATATCCAAAATTAGCAGAACTGAAATTATCATTCTGCACAAAGAATGGCAAGCCACGGGGTAACTCTGTAGGAAGTCTCAACGCCACCAGCGGAGGTCGCGTTGAATCTGTGTCATGATAGCTCAGGATTTAAATCCGTCAAAAAGAGGGTAATCAAGGAAATTAATGAGGGGTCAGGCGTATGGAGTTACGATGCAAGCCTGACACACTGGCCTATCTGGAGTGTCAGTAGGCGCCCTTAGCCTCGTTTTGGGAAATGCGCCGTGGAAAGAAGATAAGGTATTGTTAGTCAAGACCTGTTACCCCGATATGCATTCAAATCCTTGATTTTTGATATAATATTTCGTGGTGTTAAAGAATGGTTAAAAAGAAAAGGGAAAGACGGAAAAGATTATGGATGCGAGATGCCTTCACGGCAACGGTAATAATATCTGATAGTGTGAAATCCATGTATGTAGCACAATTTTGAGAAGAATAAAGTATTTGAAGATATGATTGAATACAGCGTAACAAGTAAACCAGTAACGACAATGCCAACGCAACTATCTTGCGTATCTAGTAGACATAGCGGAAGTTCAAGTTCTCCCGGTCCGTTTTGTCCTCGAATGCATGAATGAGGGTTGGATCAGCGGCACTGAGGCCTGCCTCAGCTAACAGCTTATCCTTCTTGGTGTTCTCGCGCTTGAGGTGGAAGCGGAGGTAGATAACGGCGGCAACCATACAGGCATAGCAAGCCAGGTGAACACTCCAGGCAATGTGGTATCGTGGGGAATCAGTGTCGAGGAAAACTTGAGGACCTTTTGTTTGTTAGCTGGGGACTGGGCTTCTCCATGAAGAATGCAAGGTACTTACCAATTGCGTTACCAGCAGCCCATGACACGAAAGTTGCAGCCACCACGGTGGACTTCTTGGTTTGACCAGCAATATTTCGCGACACCATAGATAAGGTGAGAGTCTGGGCCGACCAAAATGACAGAGTGATATAGTAACTGATAAGAAGGCCAATCTTAGTGGGTAAAGTGGTGTTTTCCACTGTGATAAGGACAATCGTTCCGATGAAAGACCTGCGAACTGTCAGTCTGACCTCGCTGCAAATTGGGCAAGGAGAGATACGTACGGAATGATGAAGCACAACATCACGATCGTGTTCTGTTTGAATTTATTCACCAGCCACGCAGACGACAACAGAACAACGATAATGTAAGCACCTAGCACCATAGCAAGCAGCTGAGTTTGCAATACAGTAAAGTCGAAGCTCGAGACAATGATACCGAAGAATGCGCCTAGACCACTGGTAGGGAGAGTGGTGAACATTTGAACAGCACAATAACACCACATCTGCGGGTCGCGGAAAGCCTCCCACATTTGGTATGCATGGAACTTTCTGTTCTGAATACCTGTCTGGTTGGAACGCAGACGTTCTACCATAAGACGTTTGTCTTCCTCGGTGAAACACTTTGCACGCATAGGGGAGTCAGGCATATACCAAATGACGAAGGCTCCCCAAAGAACGGAGATACATCCATATGTCAGGAAGAGTGCTTGCCAAGACTTGAGCACCTTGTCTGCTCCGATGAGAGTGAAACAGTACGCCAATAAGCCACCGACAATCTGCTGTGCACCGTTCATCATGTACCTATTTCGTCATTAGATCAACGCGAATTCATTCTCGGACGAGTATCCACCTACCAGTATGTCACAGTGGCCGCTTGTTCCTCTCGCTTGTACCACATTGAGGAAAGAGTCACGAAAATGGGCTGACAGCAAGCTTCAAATATACCCAGGAGGGTACGAACAATGACTAACCCAGTAAAATTCTTACAGGCTGCATGGAGGGCCAGGATCATACCCCATAGGACGATGTTGATGCCCAAGTACTTGCCGAGTGGGACTCTTTGGATGATCCAGTTGGTGGGATATTCGACGATGAGAACAGCGATGTAAATACACGTAGTCAACCAGGAGTACTATCGATAGGATTCAGCTTAGCATGTTGATCAAGAAGAAAGCTTAACAAGGATTGCATACCTTTTGCCCATCATTCAGATTCGCATCATCCTTAATCCCCATAATGGCGGAGAACGACATAGTTCCCTTGTCCAGAGCCTGTAGAAAATATGTGCAAATCATGACAACAAGGACACGACGATCAATCAGGCGTTTCAGCCGGTTGTTGGTGGCTTCGTCGATTTCTACCTGACTGTGGGCTGCATATGCTTGGATCTCCTTATCCACACGGGTGATATCCATGTTATCCTTGGTAAGGTCATCAGATCCTGAAAGAACCTGTTCGACATGCGATATGTCTTGCCTGTTCTCGTACTCCCCCATGTCAATTTTTGGTTGCTCCTTATGCACTACCTCGATTCCCTCAACAGGGGCTGTCTCAATCCCCTGCTGGGGGTCATCTTTACGGTCAGCCATGGCAAATGAAAACAGTAGGTGCAAGAATGCAGTTCACCAGGGGACACAGGTCACAGGAAATCGAGATATTCCCCCGGACTTATAATGCCCCACGTTTTTCCTGCCAGGGCCGTGCATGATCCCAAATAGGAGTCGCCCTAACCACATGGAAGATTATTAACCGGCTGAAAGAGTCATGTGGGTTTCCAATAACTGGGTCTATAGTATTAACCGGAAGTCAAATGGAGTCAAATCGAGTTAAACCAACTCAAGAAGTCACCTCCGTCTCCTTTGCTTCCCCAGCTTTCTTGGCAAAGGAGGAGACAGCACGCTAGTCTCTCCCCACGTTGGGGAATCCGGGGATCTGCTACCCCGATGGCCGAAAGGTAGCTCGCTAATTGCGGTGGGTCTGAATAAATACACTTTCAAGGTATTTTGGTGGGTTGCAACTCGGTGTTCTCTCACCCGAATAACGCTTGGCCCCCTCGGGGATGTTTCGTGGCGTCTGACTCAGGAGCTCATTAGTGGAAGAACTTGTACCAAGACTTGGGAGCTTCGGTCCTACTGGGACAACATATTATTTTGTTTCCCGGACAAAAAGTTGTGGAAATTTTATTCGTCTAAAACACAACATCCAGTCTCTCAGCATCACACAATGTCGTCCCCTAAGCCCACGGGCCCTGAAATCCACAGCGCCGTCAACCTGTTAATTGACAATTTGATCAACATCAAAGACGAAACAGGGAGGTTCCTGTTGCCACTTCCTGATGGGCGCATTATTGATACCAAGTCATGGCAGGGCTGGGAGTGGACACACGGCATTGGACTGTACGGCGTGTGGAAGTACTACGAGCTGACGGGCGACGAGAGATTGTTGCAGATCATTGAGGATTGGTTTGCGGCACGTTTTGCTGAAGGTGGTACCACCAAAAATATCAATACCATGGCCGTCTTTTTGACTCTCGCCTACGTTTATGAGAAGACCGGCAATGTCATCTACCTGCCCTGGCTCGATGCATGGGCTGAGTGGGCGATGCACGAACTCCCCCGCACCCGGTACGGTGGCATGCAGCATATGACTTATATCACAGAGAACTACCAGCAACTCTGGGATGATACTTTGATGATGACAGTCATGCCACTGGCGAAGATCGGAAAGCTTCTGAACCGACCCCAATATATCGAAGAGGCGAAAAAGCAATTCCTTACTCACATCAAATATCTTTTCGACACAAAGACTGGTCTCTGGTTTCACGGCTGGACATTTGAAGATGGTGGGCACAACTTTGCAGATGCACGCTGGGCTCGTGGCAACAGCTGGGTCACAATTGTCATTCCCGAGATCATCGAGTTGCTTGACCTCCAGCCAAATGACCCTATTCGTCTTCACCTGATCGATACTCTTGAGGCACAGTGTGGGGCCCTTCAGCGTCTCCAGTCGTCATCCGGCGCATGGCACACCCTCCTTGACCACCCGGACTCGTATTTGGAAGCCTCTGCGACCGCGGGATTTGCCTACGGTATTCTAAAGGCCGTTAGGAAACGTTACATCGGTGCCCAGTACCGCCCCGTTGCTGAAAAGGCAATCGCTGCGGTTATCGGATATGTGGATGAGAAAGGAGAATTGCAGAATACCAGCTTTGGTACAGGGATGGGTGACTGTCTTGACTTTTACAAGGAGATTCCGTTGACCTCGATGCCTTATGGCCAGGCTATGGCTATTATGGCTTTGGGCGAAGCATTGCGTGGTCTGTTGTGAGGAAGGCAGGTGTTAATGACTGAAACGGCAATGGAATGTGGCATGACCCGAATCATAGAGCTGTACATAAGCACGTTCCCTGCATGAACGGACTTGCTAGATAATAGAATGAAACGAACAAATCATAAAATGCGACTCTTCATTTGATCACTCCACTGGCCAACGGCTCTGGATTTTTTTGCCCAGCCCAGCTCTTTCCACTACCTCTTTGCTTCTCTTTTGTGCTTCCTGCACAATTTCCTCCTCGTCCATCGTCATGAGCTCTCCATTCTTGACAACAACCATCCCGTTTACCACAACAACATCGACATCTCGCCCAGTTGTAGTGTAAACAACTGCGCTGACTGGATTAAACCAGGGCTGGGTGTGGATCCCCCGAACATCGATAGCCACAAAGTCAGCCTTCTTGCCTATCTCCAGACTGCCGATCTGGTTATCCAAGCCCAGCGCTTTGGCCCCATTGATTGTAGCCATCTCCAGCACGCTTTCGGCTGGAACTACCGTGGGATCCTGCGAGATCCCCTTGTGAATAATGGCGGCGAGTTTCATCTCCTGCAAAAGATCACATGTATTGTTACACGGGG